ATTGATTCGATGATCCATTCATTTCCCTATATAGATACATGTACATTTAACACTCTACACACTCCACACTTTCGATTCGCTGACTCACGCAGTTGCCTCACTGCTTTGTGGTATGAATTATCAACTATAATAAAACTGTAGTCGCTGCTTCTATTTGCCTTCTGATTTCAAACACTGTTGAGGATTATATGATAACGGTCACGATAGCGATTGGTTAACGAAATACAGCCACTACATGGTCATATTCAGAGACACTCTGACTACTTGTACATATGCATTGATTATTAAGCAATACTATTTAATTAACAGTAAGCGCTGGCCAGTTCATGAAATTATTATCTATTAAACATATTCGTGTTAGTACTACCTGCTAGGAGTTCGCGAGATTAGTAATCGAAGATATCGATCTGTGTAAGTTCAGATTTATCTCAGTGGTGTAGATTTAGTTCACTTTTTACCTGATGCCTATTGAATTCCACTATTTCTTCATATACATCATTCTTCCTAATTATATTCTTGGATGTTTATTCTTTCATACAATCACTGGTTCTACCATTATTCTAATTTATGTTACTTATTTTCTCAAGTGAATCACACTGATAAGGGTGAGACCATAAGAGAGATCATCAAAATGTGGGCATATTAGTAAAGGTAAACATTGAGAGAAGGAAAAACAGTTTTAATGATGTGAAATATATCCGATTTACCTTCTGTCTCAGGATAGACAGATACAGAGTATTAGGAAATGATGGTAAATTAGTTGATGAGGTTGTGAATATTCATCTACTAAAATGGTTGGGACACGTGTTACGTATGCCTGAATTCCGATTACCACGACTCGGAATGCTGACTAGTGTTTGGGATGGTTTGAAGTAATTAAAATGTGGCATCAGTCATTGAAATCACTAACTTCTAGTGTGAGCAATGTTGATAGATGAAGACTATTTGGTTGAGGATTATGGATGACATGGCTCAGAATCGATTACAATGGCGTCGATGTATACATTCTTTGTCTTCCTTTAAACTAAGAGATTAAAATCGCTTCAAATCATTCTTCCTACGAACTAATTCCTTCTTTCTTTACTTTATCCTCATACATAATCTTTCCTATACATATTACCATCATTGAATTAAATACTTCTATGAATACGGTGTTCATGTTGTTGTGCTAATGAGGTATGGGAACTTGAACCGATGCAAAATGTTCCTAGTCCTATGTTATAGCTGATTGACTGACGATTCTTATTACCGTTCTCATGTTATCTGAGTTATGTATGAGAAAGCGTAGCGTCCAGCTGTCATTATATCATGTTTCAAATATCTAATTTTTTACATACATACATGTTAGTGTTGTTGTTGTTGTTGTTGCGTAACCCAATTTCGATCTTTGAAAGTATGTATTACTCTTCATATTTTCTGACAGATTAAGTAGAGTATTAGACGTAATTGTTAAAACAGTCAGAGTTTTCTCGTCAACATGAATAGGACGTTAATCTGTCTTAAACGAATATCTACACTAGATTCCCTCCAAGTGTTTACTCTACAGGATTTCAACACAACTCAGATCAGGAACACGTGATTATCTTTACTAGAACGTAAATATATTTCCACACCATAAAATCAACAACAATCCGACATAATCCATCAGCAAACAATAATGCTGATAAGGATAGTAGAATACATAACTCATCTAGTAAGGGAGCGGGATCGTGGATGCGCACTGCTGAGGAGTCCCATGCTAGGACGAAACCGCCGTCCACTGCTTCTAAGTTTCCAACGGTGGTCTAACATCAATTGATTCATGATCTCAATCATCTAGTACCTGTCAGACTATTTATAAATCTGATTAAGCAACCAACCAATCATTATCATCTTGACCCATACATCAGTCAGTAAGCAAGTAACATAAGCATTTCATATTCGGGATTCGACTACCCAACACATTGATGATAACTTATCAGCCTAAAGGGATAACTACTTAAGACAATAAAATCATTTCAGTAGTGTATTCATTGAATGAATATCATCAATCATAATAGATCATTCAAAGGGGTTACTTTCAATTTAATATTACATTTTTGTAACACATTACATTCAGATGTTCATATTCAAAGTATGTACTATTCCATGTTGATAGTTCAGTGTTCATTTGTTGCTATCATGTTAGGTCATAATAATGTCACCCCTTTTAACAACATCCCTTTCCACTTACCTTTTAGCTATTATCTTTTCGAAATCAGTACTGAAAATTATTACTGACTGAATTAGTTTTTACCTTAATTTCATCGATTCATTGTTGTGAGATTGAAATAAAGATACAAATCATATTGAATTCATGATAGTAATTCTGTTATAAATACCGTAGTTGTTAGTCAGTCAGTAACAACATAGAACTTCGTACGTACGTACATCAGTTCGAGTTGCCACACCATATGAGCACAGAGATGCAGTTGTCCGCTCAAATTCCGTAGTGGTAGAGGTAGTAAGAGTATAAGCAGCAATCGGGAAGAATAGGGTTTGAAGATGTTATTCAAGGAATAATATCCAGCGAAATAAATTTGGAAAGAGGAAAAGAAAGGACATGAAGGATTCATAAGATTAGAATTACAGAGAACACAAAGTGTGGACTTGCACATACGCCATTGCAAACGATTTTGATTCACGTCATTCAGGGTCTTCAACCATCGGTTGCTATTGTCTCGCTGATCCCAACCAGGTAGTCTACACCTACCAACATGGCTTAGTTCACTTGTCAGTGACTTCATGCATTTGTGCCATGTTTTGGTTTCGCCGTCCACAGCTTTCTTCCAACCTACTCCTGTACCATTGAGCAGCGCACGTCGAGGTAGTCGGCCGTTGGGCATACGTAACACATGTCACAGCCATCTCAACTGATGAAGTTTCACTACGTCATCAATCGTTTTGCAATCCTTACCTAGTATCCGTTTCTTAACAATTGAATTAGTTATTCGGTGTTCTCAGGATATACGAGCAATGTTTCGGAGACATCTAGGATCGAATACTAGTAACCTATGAATATCCTATACGTTTACCGGCCATGTTTCACTGCCATAAAGTAGAACGGAACGAACTACTGCACAGTAAACACATCCTTTGGTTGATAGACGTATATCTCGCCTACGCCATAAATGACGCAAGTTGGCAGAAGCTAGTCAAGCCTTCTGTATCCGTGCTGAGATTTCGTTACACATCTGACCACAATGGCTGATGAGACTTTCAAGATAAGTGAAGCGGTTGTCATGTTAAAATCAATTTCTAGAAAGAAAAAAAGAAAAGAACATTATCTATTCAATCAGGTGCGATAGAAACATGTGACCGAGATACCTTTCAAGATTATTCACATCTATGATGATGCATAAATTAGAATATTCTAATACCATTGCTTATGGATTCCATCACTAGCCACTATTCAACTGTTTTTTTAGATGGAGACTTTCACGTGACAATCCAAATAGTACAGCTCAATCTCGTTTAACAGGAGAACTAGACACCATCCAGGCTTAAACCTTATAACTCGAGCAGTATAACTCAATCCTGATTCACAGGAGAACCAAACATCATATAAGCTTTAACGCTACAGTCTGAATAGTACAGTTCAATACTGTGGCGCAAACACACAGGTACCAAGCACCCTGGTGCACCATTCTCAATATTCATATACACATTTACATCACATAATTGATCGTGTAAATCAATAATGCACAACATGAATAAGCCAAAGTTGAACTATTCTTCTTACACGACAGTCAAACTCAATAATGTTAACAATGGTGACATGCTTTACAATGTCCCAACGACAATGGCCTTTGAAAACACTGAAAAGCAACCACCAGTATGAATGAAATAGGTTAACCAGCAAACCAATTTTGTACATGAACAGTTAGCAAAACTTGCCAAAGTAATCATGATGAACCATCCTCAGTATAAATGGTGAACCTCCAGTCTCATATGAGACCTTCAGCTCTACATAGCAATATAGCTTATACTTCATACAACACATATGTAGGGTAGTAAACGAAATAGCTCAGCCTGAAGCGTCAGGGCTTAAAGAACACTTAAAACCCATTTTCTCGTGTCAGAATACTATTACAAAATCATCAAAATTACTTTTATCGCACTTGCGTGATTTTCATTTTTCCAACTTTTCAGATCCTACTGAATAGGATTATCGAGATAATCTACACAGCATGCACATATATCAAGAAACTGATCAATCGCAGTTCATAACACCAGCAGGAAAATTCAAACATCCGAAAACAAAATACCGTTACGTTATTAAAATCTATATTTACGTATAACTCCACCTGTAGCCGCTCTTGGGCTACCGGTCGTCCCAAGCCCGGATAAAGAAGGAGGGTTGGACTTGGGGTTAGTGATCTCATCCCGTAGTAAACTAACCAAAAAATGCTAACCAGAAGAAAATAATTCAAACTATTGAGTTAAAAGTTCTTTATTTGGAAAAGTTATGACGCTTCATGGTGAAAGCTGAATTCCTTCAGAGATCATGAGGCTTATACCCCTTTCTGACAACTAAAGCAACCCTTAATTTAGGTACATGCAATGCTTGAATCTTTCCATTGATGTTTAAGACTGCAATTGATGAATCACTTTTTGACAATATATACATCCTATTACACAAACAAGTGAGTTTTCCGACTCAGTAACTAAGTACATGATATAATGACGTTTAATACAAACGATATTGAGTTCGAGTCCCGTAATAAACATCAACTCTAAAATACATGTATATCCATTTGATATGTATCTTGAATTCCACCGTCACTAATCATCACCGATCTTAATTTAACTTAATAAGTTTATCGACTGTCTGTTTACCTTAGAATCTCACTTTCTCCAAAGATATTCAAGAAGGAAAACATTCCAGCTGTAGGTATCATTACTGACAATGTTTATATTTGAAAACAAACAAACAAACAAACAAATCGATATTATTGAACAATGAAACATGATTTTTTGTTTGTTTCTATATTCTTAAATAGATACTTTATTATTGGATGTAGATAATTCTTCCATGACTTCAGGTACAGTAGTTAATTCCACAGAAACAACAATCTTTTGATTCCCATTCGATGAATACTTATTTGAACTTGGTAATTCATCATGTTGGCTAAATGATGAATTCATTTCTATATTTTCTACATTGGAATTCATTGATATTTCTGTTTCATGTTTTTTTGATCTCGTCGATAATTCTTGATCTTTATGAATCATTGTAGTATATAATACCACAGAGGATCCACGTGGTCTAGGTTGTATCGAAAATCGATATCTAGGTAATCGATTCAATGGATGATTGGTTTCTGTCAATGTGAGCTGTTGTTGTTGTTGTTGTTGTTGTTGTTCATGTTGATAATGACGATAATGATTTAAATGATGTTTGATAGCTAATATAATCCATATTGTAAGTAGTAAAATTAAAAGTACAGCTAATCCCCATAAACTAATCACTTGCCATGTGAATGGATTGAATTCAGCATAATTGAAAGCGCTAATTGCACAAAAATAAACACCAATATAAGTAGTTGGTATCAGTAATATCATACATATAATATCAACAATTAAATGTTTTCTTATTCTATGCCATTGTAACCAATGACAAAACTGTCTTAATTCATCATTATATTGTCTAAATTGATTCCATCTAATAGAATGAAATGATGAATACTTTTTCGATGGTTTCATTAGATACACATAACCACATAATTCACATTGTAATTTACCCGAGGTTAATAACCATTTTTGTAGACATTTTTTATGAACTAAACCAATGGTACCTTTACAACGACATGGTGACAATAATCCTTCTTCTTCATGATCATGATTATTTTGACTTTCATCTAAACAAATTCGACAACGAAATGTCATGAAATTTGGATCATTTCTATGATCTGATATAATATTAGACGTAGGACAAGCTTTATTATTGATTAAATATTGATTATTGATTAGATTGGATAATTGATTTTGATCGTTTTCATGATTATCATTAGGATCAGGATCATCATCATCATTATCACTATGGTTACTATTTCTTTGATCATAGGAGAGACTTGTATTTGATATATTTGGTAAATCTAAATCTTCTATATTACTATTATTATTATTAGTAGTAGTAGTAATATTATTATTTTGTAATGAAACATTAAGAGCTAATCTAGGTGCACCAATTAATGCTGAATTGATGATGGATCCTTTATGAGAATATGATCCTTTAGATGATTTAATAAATGGTGTTGATGTTGTGATATGAATTTCTTTCGGTATAATTTGTTCATGATTCATTTGATATGGATCCTTATCATGAACTGATGATGATGATGAGGATGATGATGAGGATGACGATGATGATGAGGATGAGGATGGTGATTGATGATGAATTAATTCTTCATGTAAATGACGTTGTATTTTAGATAAATTCTGTTTCTTTACAAAAAGTATATTATCTTCATTCAATTTTAATGATGGTCTTGGAGCATTCGGTACATATTGATCATATGAATCATAATGATCATGATCATGATCTTGATCTTGATCTTGACGATGACGATGATGATGATGATGATGATGAAATGATCGTAGAATAGAATTGGATTTAGTTAATTTTGGACTTAAATATTGTTTATTTTTATGACGAATAATTGATGTATTCTTAATAGATGGATATTTACGTTTTGTAGATAATTGAACATTATTTAAACATACTGAATGAGATGTACTTTGATATGGACTAATTGTAATACATGAATTAGTTATATCCATTACATAATAAAATATATAATCACTAATATTCAATAGATTCTATTCAATATTAAACATCATAGAATGGATGAAGTTTATTTATTCAACGAATGATTGATTAGTTCCTTTCTTCTTCTTCTTCTTCTTCTTCTTCTTCTTCTTCTTCTTCTCCTTCGTCGTCTTCTACTTCTACTTCTTCTTCTTCTTCTTCTTCTTCTTCTTCTACTTCTTTTTCTTCTACTTCTTCTTCTTCTTCTTCTACTTCTTCTTCTTCTTCTTCTTCTTCTGCTGCTGCTGCTGCTTCTACTTCTTCCACTTCTTCTTCTTCTTCTTCTTCTTCTTTATATTCTGAATGATTTGGTTTCATGATTTTGCCTATATATATCTATATTGATTAGAATTAATCAATATTATAGGATCTATGTCAATGTGTGTATGTGTGTATAGGGGAAGGGGTGAGAAAAAAAAGGGGGATGGGCTAGGATGTTGTGTTATATTATATGTTGAGTACATCTCAGTATAGTTCATTTATCAAAGTTTGTTTATTTTTTTCCTTAAAAATGACTGAACAATTTTGTTATTTAATCAATAAATTATCATTACAGTTTACAATAGTGTTAAGTGCTCTATTCAAGTCTCTATCGATTATTCTAATTAGTGGACAATACAATGTATTCATTCATTCATTCATTCTTCTTCTTCAGTAGTCCCATTTAGATGTTGTTAATGATTTACTTTATCAGAATGGGTTGTGAGATAGGAACTCACTGAAGACAATGGTGTACGGTGGAGCAACTTTGTGGATTGGTTGAAGTTAGACATTTACACCGTTTAGTAGTCAAGTTGGTTAAGCGCCTGGCGCGAGGCTAGCAGGTACTGGGTTCGAGTCCCGTAAGGAGCGGGGTCGTAGGTGCGCACTGTTGATGAGTCCCATACTAGGACGAAGACAGCCGTCCAGTGCTTCCAAGTTTCCTATGGTGGTCTAGCTGTAATTGATTCATGATTTCAACCAGTGGGATTATTTACTTATTCAAATTGACTGTTTTTATGTTAACGTATGTATGTATGTATGTGCATTTCTTAATCATGAGTCAATTAAAGCTAGACCAACATGAAAAACCTGAATGCATTGGATGGCCATTTCATCCTATTATGGAACTTCTCGGCAGTGTGTACCCTAATTCAGGACGTATCATCAAATGTTCGAATATAAATACTAGGTAACGCTTAGTGACATTGTGCATTATTTCGTTTCGTTCTTTTTTCTTCTCTTCCATTATTTCATTTCTCTGATTGTCTGTTCAGATCCACGATTGTATGAAATATACCTATTCAAAAATCCATTCTCCTATTTGACTTATTGAATTCCGTTATTCTCTAACGCGATTGAAGTCGATAGTTCTATACGAGGATTGGTAGAGTGTATGTTCCGATAGCAATCATTCATACAATCGAATTAGAGTCAGATACATCCGCCACTAAATGTGATGCGTTCGTCGATAACATCATCGTCTGATGTAATTAATGTCAAAATGAAGAACCACACTAAGATACCATAAATCTCTCACAATATTGGATAGCAATATATATATATATATATATATATATATATATATATATAAATCAAAAGCTTAATAATCTCCACGACCCCATACTTATAATTACCATGTACTCAATAGTGACTAGCTTCATGAGGGAATTCTCATAGCTCTTGTGTGAAGCCGTGACTAGTGGAGCTAACCCGTGTTAGGTAGAGACAGGTATCTACCTCAGTACAATAGAACATTTTTGCTCAATTTTGTGTACTGGTTGAAGTTAGACATAAACACAGATGGATGCCGGTTCCGTAGTCTAGAGCTTAAGAGTTCGTACGCGAGACCGAAGGTCCTGGATTTGTGGCTAAGCCCTGCTGAGGAGTCCCACAATAAGACGAAACGGTCGTCTAGTGCTTCATATGATTGTGATAAAGTGCGTTTAAGGTAAATTTTTCAAACAGTTTGAAAACGTTTTAATGTAGATTAGAAATGTTAATCAATTCTATTATCAAGTTGTTTGGGCAATCTACACAAAACTGGTGATGACGGTTATACATGTAACTATTAGGTTCAGTGGTAGATAAGAGTTAACACTTATGTTAGCTGAGTGTATAATGATGGATCATGATGAAGGACAAATAGACTGTGAATCTGACTGATAGTGTTCAATCATTATTGGACAATGATTTGTGCTAAAAGGTCTAACTTTTATTGAAAACAATCACATAATGGTTTTCATCAAACCGTATATACCAAATAGTATTTGTTTCAGTCATCATATCCGAAGATTCGTCATTCGATGAAATCAGATCGTCCTTAAGTTGCATTACTATTTATCCATTCATTTTAAATGTGTCAGTGAGAACTTGCAAGCACTGGACGCCCTTTTTGTTCTATTGTGGGACACCTCAGCAGTGTGCGTCGATGATCCAGATCGCGGAATTCAAACTCAAAGCCTTCGGACTAGAGCACGAATGCTTAACTTTTAGACTATTGAGTCGGTTGTCATCCAATGCTGTTAATATCTAACCTCAATTAATCCACGAGTTTTTTTTTATGAAATTAACTTGAAACACATTTGTACATAAGTTGTCTATAGCTAGTAGTTAGGCTCTATGAAGCTTTAGAATTACGAAAGTTCTACCCTCCTGTATTCTTAAAATCAATATTCATTCACTTTGTACTGTTTCACGAGTTATTTTTCCATGTTCGAAATAGTGACAAATTTCCGTTGTTAAAGATAAATGCAGTTTTTCATTCCAAGTTGTGCAAATTAGGCTTATTGTTGTGTAAGTATAACTTGAAGGAACCTTCAATGAATTGATCAATTCTAGTTTTACCACTGTAGACAGATTTGTAAAGATTGTAGTACTTTCATGGATTCATCTTAGCTAAACTATCATTAAAAAAAAAACTTAAGAACACTTGATAGCTGTTTCGTCCTCGTATAAGACTCTTTAAAAAGAGTGTAGAATCACCGTCTTAAAACAGAAAATCGAACTCTAGACCTTCCGTTAAATTTTTTAGATACTACATAACTTAGTCAGTTAGATACACAGAAACAATTGTAAACAAAGAACATACAAATTGACTTAAACTTCTCGTTAACGTCATACATCAGACAGAGTAGAACCCTAGATCTTCGCTTTCATTGATTGATAGAAGATTAATCATTTCCAATTAATTAATATGAAATGACTATTCTACATAAAACTTTTCGTTGGATCAAAATACTTTTCTGATGAGTAATTGTTATAACTTGTGACTGTCGAATATAGAGGGCAGTGAATTATCGATTGGACCAAGGCCGCGTAAAACACGTGCGAGCAGTCTAGAGTCCTGATTGGTTCTGCTTTCCGGCTAGCCCAGCCTGTGAAGTCCAAAACATCAGTCCGAGCCTCTGTAATATGAATCTTTGTATTTCAAACATACTGAGTTTATACACCAACCAAACAGACCACATCGTACCATATATACATATTTGGCGGATTAATGAACATTGAATATCAACAGTTTTTACCACTTGATCATGAAATAATCTTAGGTAGATTATAATAGCCCCCAAATTACCAGGTACGACTAATAGTGAGGAGAGTCAGCTCTCCCTCTCGAAATGCTCTCACATGGCCAGGTGCATACAACCACTGTCAGGGAATTCCTACTCACTGCCTTCTCACACCAGGGTTATTGTTTACGAAAATGAGAGGGCGAAAAGTGAATGTCCGTTGCTTTAACCGGGTTAATGGACACTGAGAGTTCACCTAGTGGAGTTGGAAAACCCTTATTCCAAATCATTGGTGCACATAGGTTCTAGTATCCTGAAGGAACTAATGGCGTATGGACCAATTATTGGTGACCGGCTATCATGTGACTACATCTCATGACATTGCTCTACTGCCTTTTGGACCAGATCTTCAAGTCGAAGGTTCCGGATGTTACTCCCCTAAGAAAACCATCTTCTTCGATCTGGGTATCTGGGCCGTATTACTGATCACATATAAATCAAGTGACTTGTATGGTGCATATGCATTCGGTACCCTTTTTTGTACCAATATGTATATGTTCAAATAAGTAAATAGATTATAATAGCAAGTCTCCATTAGCTTTGCATTTGTATAACCTATTTTAAATGAAAGGTCAAGAATAGGTTATTATTTAGATAGTTGACCTGCTATTGACATGAATGTGGCAGTTTTTTGATTGAGTGTATGGTTATAAACAACAACAAAAATCAATAACTTTATACATATGTTGAATTGTATTCAATGAATAACATACACATACATTCTCCCACTTTACTCACTTGTTCCCCCAGTAAGCTTGATTATCACATGCTTATGAATTTAATTAATTATTAGCTGGTATATTTGACTTCTGAATATGACCAAATGGATTCTCATAGCTGTGACCAGTGGAGCTAGTCCGTGTTGCATAGAGACAGGTATCTACCTCAATAGAATGGAAGGTAGTCGAACAATTTCGAGGATCGGTTAAGGTTAGACATTAACACTGTCCGATACAGACCAATTCAGTGATTTACGGGTCAAGTGTTCGCGCGCGAATACGGAGGGCCTGGGTTCGAGTCCTACTCTCGGAATCGTGGATGCGCACTTCTAAGAAGTCTCATAATAGAACGAAACGGCTGTCCAGTGCTTCCAGGTTTTCGATGGTGGTCTAATATCAGTCGTTTCGTCACCTCAAGCATAAAAAATTAGTTTGTTAGCAAATATGCAGTTAACTGATCATTACAGTTTTGAGTTGAAATTGATAACGTAACCTCTATACTACTATTTGAGACTTAGACTAACTTGACAGCTTTTTCCCAGTATGGAACTACTTCTTGTAACTCACTAATTTGATCCTGATTTAGATAAATGTACGAATATGCTATGAACATGAATCTTCCATTTAACTTCATATATAAACTGGGCTAACTCCGTTTGTGTAACGTCGATAATAAGAAGCCAACTATGAGTTGCGTCGGAGGAAATTAGTGGCTCTTAATCTCACTCCAATTCGATCGTATGATTATCGTTATCGACTTATACATATCATCAATCCTCGTATACAGTCATCGTGTTATTGAATAACGGAATTAGATAAGTCGAATACAAGAATGAAGTTTTGAATATGTATGTTTTATACAATCGTTGATCAGAACAGACAATCAGAGAAATGGAGTGAAGAAAGAGAAGAACAGAGAGAGAGAGAGAGGGAATCGAAAGCAAGTGACGCGCAATGGAGAAGGCGAGTAAGCCAACTCGATTCGATCAAGTGTGACTTGTTATTTATAATCAGACAAAAATAAGTTGCAGATATGTAATGAGTAGGATATGCAATGCACACACACATGCTCCTATAAAGACAGTCAAGGTTATTAAGCGATTAATTAACAAAGTCAAAATTTGACTTGGAAAGAATGTATAAATAGGCTTGTCCAAAAACATAAAATAATCCATATGAGCTTGACATAAGATGAGACATTAAATGCTCAGCACCGCTGTCACCACTCCACATTCATAAACCGAATCCAAGACCTTTGGTCTCATGCATGAACGCCTGAATTCTCGACCACTGAGTCGGCTTTAATGGCTTACATGTTTAAATTCAATCGATTCAATTGCTTAATTACTTACGTCTATTATTCCCAATAGAGTATAGGCCGCTGAACAGCACTCTATAACCCACTCTGTCCTCAACCTTCCTTTCTAGTTCTATCCAATTCTTGTTCATTCTCCTCATGTCTATCTCCATTTCTCCGCGTCAATTGTTCTTTGGTCTTCCTCTTTTCCTTTGGCATTGAGGACTCCATGTGAGGGCTTGCCTTGTGAATTTGGTTCGTTCTCTCCCACTTTGGGTTGTTGATGATAGTGTCTGACCAACGGTGTTAGTTGACATTTGTTTCATGTTTCGGGTGTTCTTCAGTCGTAAATATAATGCTCTTGCATCAGATTCTTCGTGTTCACCAATGATGCTGCCCATATATTTTAAGGTTTTTACATCTTCCGAATCTTCTCCATCAAGGGTGATACGATTGTTGCATGCTGTGTTGTATCGGAGAATCTTCATTTTCCCTTTGTTTATGTTGAGACCAATTGCTGCTGAGGCTGCTGTTACACTGATCGTCTTCTCCGTCATTTGTTATTGAGCGTGCGATAGAAGAGACTGATCATCTGCTACGTTTCACTATATTTCTCAAATTTTCGTTTATTATCTGCTATAGATAACCGTCTCTCATTCGACACGGTACATATTTGAAAATCAGCTATTCACATCATGTTCAGCTTATAAACGTCATTCTGTGATCGATAAGCAGTTTTCATTAACACTGTCAAAGCATCATTAACCTATGAATGTGTATTACTCTTTAGTGATCAATCAAATATTCCATAGTAACATACTCAGTAACTAATCCATCATTGTTAACATTTATAACTAAGAATATGATAGAGATATTAATCGACAGTGAGTATCAATCTAGTTGACTTTACATTTATAACCCACCATTAGAATGAAACAAAAATGATCGTTGATCGGTAGACAGATCTAATAGCCTGGGTGAAAGGAAGAAATACTGACATCCGAATATGTTTAGGGAAATGAATTCGACACTGACCGTAAACAATTGTCGTATAGTGTATACTGACTGTTTAGGGTAAGAAGATATAGTCGCCATTTAACATAATTATACATTAGGTTATTTATTTTAGAGTTGACAATGTTGGTCAATTCTATTATAAATGCAGATTGAAATAACTTACATAGTCTACTGAATGTACTCAGACGTCTTTGATGTTTCTCATCAGCCAATGTCGATAGAAATTTCCGTGTGATTCGTTTAGCAGCCAGAATACCTAATAGTGACAATGGTGGTCGACTAGTATTTGTCAAAGATGTCAGAGAGGATGCTGCTGCTGATGATGATGATTGAATGTTTTGACTGATCTTCCTACTAGTGATAACACTTGTTGGATGATTAACTTCTCGAAAAGAAAATATTTTATTTGTTTCTACTGCTGATGTTGGACCATTGATGGAAGTGTTGAAACAGGATAATGGTGAACGATTGGGACAACTGGCTGGAGTTTGTGGTTGAGATTGTGCAGTGACTGTGTGAATAAGAAGAAAGTAAATTCATTCGACATTTGACAATATAGAACAGTTTCAATGTACTACTACTACTACTGATTTCGATATGAGTAGTGTGAATGAATCGTCTAAATGTGAACAGAATTTGTTCAGTTCGATTTGGTGAGGAATATATTTCGTTTAATGAAACGAATCGTTTGACCGAATAGATGTCTGATCACAACGACATTCATTCGTTTCATTTGATTCTATTCGTTTGCGATTCAACTTGTATGAATTACTGTCATGCGAATATACGATTCATATCAGTCCCACAGATCGTTGGTAAATTTACACCAGCATGAGACTTACTTCCATTACGATATGTAATTCTGTCATTTATCAATATTCGATCAACCTAAAATCTCAGTTCGTTATGGTGAAATGTTTAGAAGTGAATTACAGACAAACATTGAAGATTCTTCTTCTGTAGCTGAGCAACACTTGGAAGCTTCATATGGTCATTCAATTCCATCCAATCTCGGTTGTTCTCTCTCTCTCTCTCACACACAACAGCGCACACTTACATCTTCTTTCACTTTAACTAACCACATATGAAGTTACTAGATTCAACACAGTTTAATTCGGAACCATCAATGAATGAATGAATCTGCACACAATTACATCATCGTTGAATTTCATGTTCCACAGAGTATTACGATTACTATAACCAATTTTGTTGAAACTACTCTTGAATCAAATGATTCATTATGTTGTAACTGGTTGTTGTATGAAGTCACTTCCATCAAGTTGATTAATACAGAGCTCCATCTGTAATTCTGATCAATAATACATGATAGATTGTAAGAAGATCAATCGAAGCCGACAAGATGAAAGGGATGTATGTTGTTCTGTTTAGATAGTTCCAACCTACTTGATTATCACTTAATATGACGTGTGTATTGTATCATGCATAGTTTTTGACAAATCACTTTATTCTCTCTCTCTCTCATATCGACATGTAGTTGTAATGATGCATCAATTTACACACAGTGACATGTACACATTTTTGAACGTATCGTTTACCATTGATGTTTCTTCATGAGAATGATGGAAGTGAATATTGTGACAGTGGGAATATCAACGTGGCGAAAATGATATCACATCTTCTCATTTGTGATGACATGTGAAGTAGTCGGTTAACTTTTTGGAATACTACGACATTGGTAATTATTCATGATTCGTCATTATAAACTCCTCTGTTTATTGATTATCTGTATATGTTGTGTGATTACGGTAAACCTTGTTCTATATCATGTGAATTGAATTATTATCAACATGGGGTTATGGAGATCGAATCTCGCGAGCGAGATCGTTGATACTCACTGTTGAAGAGTCCTACAATAGGATGTAACGTTCTTCAAGCACTTCCAGGTTTTCAGTGATGGTCTGACATCAATCGCTTCATGATCTTAATCAAAAACGGAGTTATATTTGTTCGGATCATTTCTTAAGATCACCAATATCTTATACATTATGATTCTATTAAAACATGCATGAACATGTATATTATTTCACCACAGATTGATAGATATAATCTAGTGTCTCCTTCAAATCATTCTGTTCTACATTTGATCAACTGAAACATGAATTTTCAGTCTTTACAATTACACATTGTTTTTATTGATTGATATCACGTCACCAATATAACCTTATATTACAATCCGAGTGCAATTTAGTGAATATTACAGTAATTTAATAGTTTAATTCATGAGTCAACTGAAGCTAGATCACTCTAGAGGCTAAGCGTTGGCGCACGAGACTGGGTTCAAATCTCCCGACGTGAGATCGTGAATGCAGACTGTTGACAAGTCCCATACTGTGACAAAACGGTCATCCAATACTTTCAGGGTTAACATGGTGGTTGAAGATAGTCAACAGGAAACCCTGAACATAGTTTTTGTGTTACTTGTAATCTTGAGAGAACTAATACTCCCTGATGGATTCAATCCCGTGTCACCCAGCTTCACAGTCAGAGATGTTACCATTAGGCTATCTGGCCTGTGATCGACCTCCTGTATGACTGAGATGTAATCACAATTAATTGATCACTGGATGGTGATCAGTGTTATGTGTATTAAGTCCTTCTTATTGCAAATCGAATGCTATCAACCATCATCTTATCTCAACATAGTGCATGCAGTGTCGAGTCACCTAGACTAGTGACCACATTGCAACTTAGTCGATAGCATTCGATCTACACTAAGAAGAACTTGACACATATGACATTGATCATCACCCAGCGATCAATCAATTGTGACTTTCAGGGCTAATCCGTGTCGGGTAGAGACAGGTATCTACCTTAGTACAATGGAAGTTGGTCGCGCAATTTCGTGGATTGGTTGATGTTAGACACTAACACCATTGGATGCCGGCTAAGTGGTCTAATGGTTAAGTGCTCAGGCGCGAAGCCAGTAGGTCCTGGGTTCGAACCCCGCGGGGTGCGGGATCGTGCATGCGCGCTGCCGAGGAGTCCCACACTAGGACGAAACGGCCGTCCAGTGCTTCCAGGTATCCAACGGTGGTCTAACATCAATTGACTCATGATCTCAACCAAAAACTTAACAATCTCCACAACCCCCATACTGATACTTTCCATAATAGTCTAACTTCAACTCTTTAAATGATATAACAATATGATATAATAACTTACTTAAATGTTTTATCAATGATAATCTTTTAACACCTTTAGCTTTTGATAATAAATCTAATCTAGAATTTCTTTCTTGATTCATTACATCATTTGTATTGGTATCTTTTATAGTGGATTCTTCATTGACTGTTTCTAATTCATTTGATTTTGAATTTAGTTTCGATGGTGATAGATTCATTATGTAACTATCTTATACTAAAGAAACAAATAATGATGATAATAAATTAATATTTTTATGTCATTAGTTAAAGAGGTGAGGGGGGGGATTTGTAAAGATTATAGAATGTTTATTGTTTAGATTACTAGTTTCAATTAACGATTAAAGTTTAATCATTAGATGGTGATTGTAGGTAGTCGACAGGAAACCCTTGGATCCGGGTTTTGTGCTATTTGGCACTCGTCAGCAAGGTGTACCTGTAATCTTGAAGCAACTTAGTCGATAGCATTCGATTTGCAATAAGAAGGACTTGATACACATAACATTGATCACCACACAGTGATCAATTAATTGTGATTACATCTCAGTCCTATAGGAGGTCGATCACAGCCCCGATAGCCTAGTGGTAATATCTCTGACTGTGAAGCTGGGTGACACGAGATCGAATCCGCCAGGGAGCACCAGTTCCCTCAAGATTACAGGTACACTTTGTTAACGGATGCCAAGTAGCACGAAACTCTGGTCCAGGGTTTCCGGTTGATTAGCTCCAACTACCGTCTAATCTCAATATAGTGCACGCAATTTCGAGTCACCTAGACTAGTGGCCACATTGCAACTTGGTCAATAGCATTCGATTTGCACTAAGAAGGACTTGACACACATAACTTTCTTCCAACCATCTCCAACACCGGTTAGCATTGCAAGTCGTGGTAATCGGAGTTCAGTTATACGTAACACGTGGCCCAACCATCTTAACAGATGAATATTCACAACCTCATCAACTGATTTACCATCATTCCCTAATACTCTACGCCTTACCTCACTATTACATACTCGGTGATCCCAGCAGATGCGAGCAATATTTTCACGGCATCTGTGGTCGAATACTAGCAGCTTACGAGTATCTTTTACTCTTAATGGCTATGTTTCGAAGCCGTAAAGTAGAACAGAACGAACTGCTGCGCAGTATACTCGTCCTTTTATTGATAGATGGATATCTCGCCTTCACCACAGGCGATGCAATTTGGCCAAAACCAAATGAGCTTTTCGAGTCCGTGCTGAGAGTTCTTCAGAAACCAACCCATTAAAGCTGATCAGACTCCCAAGATAAGTGAAGTTGTCGACGTGCTTGACTACTTCACTCCCTATCCTTAGTTCAGGTGTTGACGCAGGCCAGTCCTAAAGCAACAACTTGCATTTAGATGGAGAGAAGCGCACTCCAAACATTCTGGCATTGTTGCTCAGTGCTATCAAAAGACTGCATTTTATCAGCGTCTTCACCAAACATGACTATATCATCTTCAGTAACACATGAACTATTAGAATTGCTTTATAACTGACTGACAACTTGTTTAGTTTATAATTACATTGTTTGTACATTTATTTTAATTGTCCTATTCTGTTGATTAACCTTAGAGTACTTTATCTAATCTACTAAACAATTTGATCGATTTCCATATGTCTATTGATTGCTGAGTTACTTGAATCTCAGGATTCTAGTAAATTCTTGAATTTTCTCACCCTACTGCTTCAATTCATTAGCGTTACTGCCGACATCCAAATCGCAAAGCACAACTCCTCCAAAATCAATTGAAACTCTCATAAAAAGCATTATGTTTTGTAACTCAGTAGGTGGAGACAGTCGACTGATTGCTACTTGGCACTCATCAGGAAAGTGTACCAACAACTTTAACGTAACCAATATCTCTGAGTGAATATGATCCCGCGCTGTCGAATACCATAGCTCGAAAAGCTGCCACTGGGCTATCCGAACAGCTGTTGATCAATTGTTCGACCAAGATGTATTAAAGCTGATCGATTACTGAATGATGATCAAATTCCGTCAATCAAATTACATTGCAATCACATACATTGTGCTGAGATGTTAGATGGTCGTTGGACGTAGTCAAAAGACTAGTGACCAACTTTCAAACTAATCGATAAGATTCGATCCTCCCTAAGAAGTACCAGACAGACATGACGTTTATCACTATTCTAAGATCGATCAATTGTAAGATCCCTTTTACTTTTTCTCCTAACTAACTTAATATGAAAATAATGTTGAATAAATTGATTTCAACGATCAGAATAATTAGAATGTAAAAGATTCACATTATCTGATAATTGATTGAAATTGCACAACAAATTCGTCCTAGTGCAGGACTCCCTAACAGTGCTCATCCATGATCCCACAGGTGGGACTCGGACCAAAGACCTCCGGTCTCACTAGAGAATGCTTAATCGGCATTCAGTAGTGTTAATGTCTAACCCCAACCAATCTATGATATTGCGCCATCGTCCATCATTGTCTTCAGTGAGTAACCGCCTCACAACAGACACGGTTGACCTTCACTGGTAACGTTTTCTTACTACAACTCCAGGAAATATCTCATGAATCCAATCACTAGTGAGTACATGATGAGGGGTTTTCGGATATTATAATAACTTTAATAGTTAAAATCATGAGTCCATCTAAGCTAGATACCCATTGAAAACCTGGAAGTACTGTGCTGACGTTTGGTTCCAGTATGAGACTCCTGAACAGTGATCCATGATCCTGCACACAGTAGCTTAACCCAGAACTTTCGATTTTGCGCTCGAACACTTAACCTCTAGACCACTGAGTCGGCATCCGACAATGTTAATGTCCAACTTTAATCGATCCATGATGTTGCACAATCATTCATTCATTGTCTGAGATAGATACTTATCTCTACCTGACACATATTGAACTCCATTGGTCATGGCTTCTCACTGGAACTCTAGGAAAGAAGAAGATCAATCAAAGCCGACAAGATGAAAGGGATGTATGTTGTTCTGTTCAGATAGATCCAAACTACTTGATTATCACTTAATATGACGTGTTTATTGTATCATGCACAGTTTTTGACAAATCACTTTATTCTCTCTCTCTCTCTCTCATATCGACATGTAGTTGTAATGATGCATCAATTTACACACAGTGACATGTACACATTTTTGAACGTATAGTTTACCAGTGATGTTTCTTCATGAGAATGATGGAAGTGAATATTGTGACAGAGGGAATATCAACGCGGCGAAAATGATATCACATTTTCTCATTTGTGATGATATGGGAAGTAGTCGGATAACTTATCGGAATACTATGACATTAGTAATTATTCATGATTCGTCATTATAAACTCCTCTGTTTACTGATTATCATTGTATGTGTTATGTTTACGGTAAACGGTGTTCGATATGAAGTAAACTTTGTTAGTATCAGTATGGGTTTTTGGTGATGATTAAATTTTTGATTGAGATCATGAATTGATTGATGTTAGACCATTCGAATCTCGCGAGCGGGATTGTAGGCACGCACTGCTGAGGAATTCCACAATGGGGCGAAACGTCCTTCCAGCGTCTCCAGGTTTTCAATGGTGGTCTAACATCAATCGGTTCATGATCTCAATCAAAAACGGAGTTATGTTTGTCATGACATTATTCAACTATTTATAATATTTTCAGATCACAAAGACTCTGTGTTGTAATTCTGTTCAATTGACATGTATTTCATTTTGGTGTTGGGTACAATTCACTGTGTGAATATCAACAGTGTGATGCAGTTACACTCATTTGAATGAAAGATCATCTACATACATAAAAGTACATATCATCTAGATTTCCAAGTTAAATATGAAAATGAACTTTCTGTTGATTCCAGGTGATATGATTTCTAATGTTTTAATGATTAATGTTACCTTACAATTAGGAATAACTAAATGTACTCTGAATGGTATGAATTATTTTTTCTGGTTAGTGTTTTTTTAGCGATTTAGTTTTCTACGAGATAGGGTTGCTAACCCCATGCTCAACACTCCTCCATTATCCTGGTGTGGACAGACAGTCGCCTCATAGGGGCTCCAGACGCAAAATACTTCGGATCCGTTGGTTAGACACTATCATCAACAACCTACTGTAGGAGAGAACAAACCAGATTCCAGTGGTGGAAGAAATCAGCAAAACGCGCTACAAGTGGATAGATAGGACACACATTGAGAAAAAAGCACCCAAATGCATCACAAGACAAGCCTTCACATGGAATCTCCAATGCCAAAGGAAAAGGGGAAGACCAAAGAACACATGACGTGGACAAATGGAGACAGACATGAGAGTAATGAACAAGAATTGGATAGAACTAGAAAGGAAGATTGAGGACAGAGTGGGTTGGAGACTGTTGTTCAGCGACCTATTACGCATTGCGAATAACAGACGTAAGTAATTAAGTAAAAGTAAGTAAATGTACTTTGAATGATGGAGACTAGAGTTAGTATCGACGATGTGAGTTTTGTCTTAATTGAGACTTTTCAAAGTTGATGTTGGGCACTAATGGGGGACTGATCATTTATAGTCCTAAACAATTAGTTTACATGAATTAAAATTTACCTCATTACATATGTCTACAGTATATATATGTGCTCAAATCTGATTAATTGCACTTGCTTTGCTTTACTTCGCCATGATTCGACTCGATTTGATTCTTAATCCGCCTCTGTATTTGCTTGCTTGCTCGCAATAACCTCACTGCTCAAGTTCGCTCGATGTGCTTGTAACTATTTTATTTGTACTACCCAATGATGAACTATAGTTACCGCTTCATATTACCCTTTGAATTCATACACCATTGGAATTTATATAATAACGGTTATCAGGGTGATTAATAAACGAAACTTAAGGAATTATCTCAAAATCGAGCCACTACAAACCAGCGGTTATCTAAACTCTGTAGCCAAGTGGATAGCATGATGAAATTGGAAGCGAACGATATTGAACTCAAATCGTGGATTAAACGTCAACTCTGAAACTCAGGGATATCTATGTGACGAGTCAGAAATGTGTATTTTGGATAACACCGTTAACCATAATTTCACTTATCTTAATTCTAATTCATTGATTGTCAGGTTAATGTATTCGTGCGTGAGATCAACAGATCCTGGATTCGAATCTTGTAAGGTGACATTATAGATGTACACTACTGAGGAGTTCCACAATAAGACGAAACAATCATCCAGTACTTTCAGGTTTTTCATGATAGTGTAGCATCAATTGAATACATGATCTCAACTATTGAAATAAAGAAATCTCGATAAGTAATTTCAATTACTCATGTGATTGAATTAAAGACTTTAATTTAATAGAATGATATTTTTCTTAAAAATTTGTGAGATCTATGCAACAAACAAACAAAAAATGTTATACTTATATTTTTCTTTTACAAATTGTTACCATAGCAACAATCCCTAATGATATCATGTTGCTATGTTTACAGTTTAGTATAGATTACCCATGTTACATTGATTTGTAACTATGTATGTGTAGAATACACGATGTTTACATCATATAATCTATCATATTATTATTGTTTATAGTTAATAAGAAATATTTAACACTGACTTCATCTTTATGTAAATGTTTAAATGATTGTATATAAGTCATTGAATAATATTTATATATGGATTATGAGAAAGTAATGGAATCCAGGATATGAGTTTCGTCTTATTTAGGACTCGTCAGCCGGATGTAACTGTATCTCAAAGTTGATGTTCACTTCAGGACTCGAACTTAGTAGGGTTCGCTTCAAATTATATTGTGTTCTCCACTTAGTTACTAAGTTCTGATAGTAATTTGGTTGTATAATAAGGTGAGATCGGGCGATACCCCCAAACTGATGACGAAACCTAAAAAGAATCACAGCACAAATGACAAAATATTCACAAAAGTGGTGCATATAATGTACGGGGTGCTCCCTACGTGCCAAAATTCAAAAACAGCTATTATAGCCACGGTAGTTGTGCCGTGCTTCTATGTGGCCTGTTTCTCTCCAGAAAGGACTTCTAGGCTTCGCCAACTTGTTTGGCTGGAAGAGGAGGATTAGGTTTATGCGCGAAATTAAAATATCGAGGATACGAAGCAGTAGAAATACTTTTGTTATGTTCTTATCTTCGATTTATTAAATCATGTGATACTGTGGTATGTGCTACTGATGTCGACAGACATAAGTAGTATGTATCATCAATCAAAAATGAAATGACTGGTAGCAGAATGTTGAGAAGACTGAAGAGAAGAGAGCGAGAACGGAGAGTGATTGATGTGGAAACAAAGAAACAATCAAGTGTTAGACAATTGATCAGATTTTACTAAGTGATTCTGTAATATTGTGCCCAAACGCGTTTGGTTGTTCTCGCTTGTGTTCTTGTTCACTGCAATACAATCGCTAGTTGGAGACATTGATTAATACAACCAGAATAATATCGCATAAACCTACACGAACAGCCTAGAGTTCTTATTGGTGCATCGAGATAACAGCTTCTCATCTAAACCAGCTGGATCAGTCCAGAACGTCAATATTAGGCTCACTAATGTAAATCATATATTTTAAACATATTGGGTTGATATACAAAGCAAACAGACCACATCTCTCCACAAAATAGGAAACAACATTCGTACATGATCTAGCCGAAAGTGGCTGTAAATGTAGGAGACTTTAATTAACTCTTTATATTTAACTCGTAGTCCGAACTTGGACAATTAAGAGTTTGAAAAGATAGATGATCTAAAACTATAAGGGAGAGTGTTCGAGAGATGCAGAAAATTCCCCCCCCCCAAAAAAATAAAGCTAACATAAGCTCTGAAAACACTATGAAACATCATATCCAATCAGCATTCAATAGAAGTTTTACCAGAAACATCTAGAAAGTAGAAAGTTCCCTACAATGTTTCTGATTGAATGATTACCTATACTACTACTACTACGTTTGGCAACATTCCAGAAATTTCCAGAAACACAAGGTCAGCTAAAATACTATACAAACCCTAGATTTTCTGTACATAGATGAACGTTTGGAGTAAAGCGTTTTCTTTCATATTTCATGCCTTTTCTCTTGTGTTCAAGTCGTTGTATAGATTTACCCTGGAGGTTACTAGGTACCGAATCTAGCATTCATTTAGAAGATTTATGAAAGAATTTAAATACGTTGTTGTTTTTCCACCCTGTGGAAGACTTCTAGAACCATCAAATATATAAAATCTGTCTAAAATTCATAGTATTATTGTTTTCTTTTCTATAATTTATCCAATTACAAAGGGTTTATTACAGTTGTTTAACAATAGCTAGATAATTAACCGCAGTCGTTTAAAGCTGATCCCCATACATTAACATTGTTGAATGTCGGCCAGCTCAACGGTCTAGAGATTAAGCGTTTGCGCACGAGACCAATAAATCCTAGGTTCGGATAAGGCGGGCAGGATGGTGGATGCGCACTGCTGAGATTCTTGAACAGTGAACATACACAATCCAGCATGCGTGACTCATGAGAGATCGAATATTCCAGGTTCGAGTCCCCTTATAAAATATTGATACTCGACAAAGATATGAAGTACAATTTTTATCGAAAACATGAACCAATTTAAGTTAGATCATCGTTGAAAACCTGTAAGCAATGGATGACCGTTTCAACATGTAGAACTTGCACATGGTCGAAAGTCATAGGTTCAAGTCCATCATCATACCAGATCGTGGATGGCTCATACTATGATGATACTGTCATCCAATGCTCCAAGGTCTTCAAAAAATGATCTCGTTTAGATTCGTTCATCTTCTCAGATCTTTATGAAATATCAATACAATATAAGATAATCAGTATTAACTCATATAATGTAATATCTATTGTAGTGAACAAGAACACCAGAGGGGACAATCGAATGTATTTGACATAAAATTACAGGACTTGTTAATAAAATCGAACAATCATAAAGTAAGCGCTTAATTTGAAAAATGTCCATCAATTGTCTCAAAATGACTCAGACTTCATTGTTCTTGCATTTTCATACAAATTGCATCCTGTTTCGATTCTTGACTGTTCGATCCTCTTTGTCTCTTTGCTGTCAGACCTTCTATTCACGACTGACATCATATACTACTTATGTCAATATAAGTAGCACACACCACACTCGTTCACCCTTTAAAGCATTCGTTCTTGTGGTGGTTCACGCTTGCCGTGCCACATTCTTCGTCGCTGCAGTCTGCTCTACGCTCTCCGACAAAATGTTGAGTCTGTGGCCCACTGACCTCCATAGCTCTGTCCATCTGTTGGGGCACCAAGATCCGACATCCACCCGGCACCTGGGACGCTTAACACCCGTGCTCCACCGGCCTGCTGAGCCTTCTACATCCGATTTCCGCCAAGCAGCCGCACGTCCCACCGCTCCTCCCCATCGACAGCACCCGCTACAGTCAAACCCGCTCCGCCAGAACACTCCACTCAGCGCCAACCCTACGCACCAGACTGCCTCAACTAGCACCTCAGCTCCAGGCCCGCAATGGCGTCCGCAGAACACGGCTTGGGACAACCGAACCCACTTAACACAAAATTACAGGACCGGTTAATAAAATCTAATAATCAAATAGTAAATACGTAGTTTGCAAAATGTTCACCAATTATCTCAAAATGACTCAGACTTCATTGTTCTTGCATTTTTCATACAAATTGCATTCTGTTTCCATTCTTCACTGTTCGATCCTCTTTGTGTCTTTGCTGTCAGACCATCTGTTCACGAGTGACATTATATACTACTTATGTCAATATAAGTAGCACACATCACACTATCAACTACTTATGTCGATTTGAATAAATGAAAGAAAAAGAAAAAGAAAAGAAAAGAAAAAAATATACATTTATAGACAATAAAAATATTTTTCACATTAATCATACATTATTATTAATAATATTGACATTATCAGTAGTCTATAAATTGTATTTAATCATATACGTCATTTTATATAAATATATATATATATATATAATCTAATGAATAAATTGTTACTACCTAGCAACTATAAACATGTTACCATGCCATTTTTTCTTTTTCATTTTTTTAAAATTTCATCGAATTATTAATGAATAAATCAATCGTTTGTTTCTAATCACATGACAATGGATCGATAACAACAGTGAGTATAAGAATACATATATTTAAGCTGGAAAATGATGTTATTAGTAGTAATATTGTTACTGTAGCATTATTGAAGTAATACAGTCAGCTTTAAATTCATTAGATATATTGAACATGAGGGGGGATTACATCATTTTATATATTTATATGGTTCTATTTATGTTATTCAATGAGATTAATGCTAGCGGAAGTAAGTTATTGTATGTTATATAGATAAACTATGGTAATGTTTACACTTTGTTCTTGTTGGATAGTTTGGGAATATAAATGGATAGTTACTTCATTACTTATGTCTGTTATCCCCCCTCCCTGCCCATCAATGGAGAATAGGCCTCTGACCTGTATTCTTCGACTTACTCTATCCTCGGTCTTCTTTTCTAGTTCTATCCAATTGTTGTTTATTTTGTCTGTTTATATTTCGTGGTGTAGTGTTGTTTGGGTTTTCTCTTCGTCTTTTGCCTTGTGACACAGTTGAGCTGCTTTCCTCAATGTGTGTTCTAGCCACTTATAGTGCTTCTTCGTGATTTATTTATCTGCTGGAATCTAGTTTTTCTTCTCTCCCTGTTATAACTTGTTAATGTATAACGTGATGGTCCACCAATTAGAGAACAGTGATTCACCGATCGAACCAATGACGCCTAAAACCCGTGCGAGCAGTCTAGAGTCCTTATTGGTCCTACTTCTTGCTTAACTCAGCCAGTTACGTCCAGAACACCAGTCTCAGCCTCTGCAATATGAATCATTTATTTCAAAAATACTGGGTTTATATAACAACCAGGTAGACCACATCGTACCATAAAATAGGAAACAACATTTGTACAAGATTTAGCCAAATGTGGCTGTGAATGTGGGACGTAGCAATTAATAGACAGGGATGGTAAGTCGTATAATAACAGTACATTGGTTAAAATAAAGCTTATGATAAGAAAGACATGAATATGAATAGTTTAGTTATTTAACAATTATACTCATAGTATTGGTTCATAAATGGATCCCAAAAGTTACCATTCATTATGCTTATCGGGACATAACACTTCCACTGTAGGTTCTTGTTGATAATAAACACTTGTCTCGTCTGGATAATGACTTTTGTAGTTCACCAAATTTCTGCCTCATACAGCAGAACTATCTTGATATTTTTGTATTGAAAATTCTGACTTTGATGTTGGTTGACAGACAGTTGTTTTAAGTTTCAGATACTCTTCAGTTATAGATATGCTGCTCTTATTTGGCTTATCTGTACCCTCACATCTGCATCAGATCCACCGTGTTCATTAAAATAGATATTTGATAGATGAATATTCAAATTCAACTTCATTAGTTCATTATCAGTATAGGGGTTGTGGAGATTGTTAAGTTTTTGATTGAGATCATGAATCAATTGATGTTAGACCACCGTTGGAAACCTGGAAGCACTCGTCCTAGTATGGGACTCTTCAGCAGTGTGCATCTAAGATCCCGCTCCCTGCGAGATTCGAACTTAGGACCTATCGGTCTCGCGCCAGACGCTTAACCAACTAGACCACTGAGCCGGCATCCAATGGTGTTAGTGTCTAACATCAACCAATCCATTGCTTCCAGGTTTCCAACGGTGGTCTAACATCAATTGATTCATGATCTCAATCAAATTCATTAGTTCAGTTTGTTTTGAAACATCACATTATCGATATTGAAAACTAAATCCTGTTTGAAGCTAACGGTTGAGTCTCATCATTATTAGGGTGTAGACACATTTGTCGGACGAGTGCTAAATAAGGCGAAATATGTGTGTCATATTCCACAGCTTCTAAACATATTTAATCAATTGTTTTTTGGAAATTGCATGAAGTAGGTTGAAACGGTTTCATATGAAAACGAACCGGTATTGAATATCAACATGAGGTTGTGGAGGATTGTTAAGTTTGTGATTGAAATCATAAATATTGGACGAAACAGCCATCTATTGCTTCCAGGATTCAAACGACGGTCTAAGATTCATTGATTTATGATCTCAATCAGATGTGAATATTATTTCTTTGCATAATGTTGACTAGTTACTTACAGTCTATACAGTCTACACTAAACATACTTTCGTATTGAGATGATATCACTTCAGCTTTAATTGTAATGGAGTTAAATAGTGTTCTGCGTAAATGTATATTATTATTACTATTTTCGGCACAATCATCTTTTTGAATTATTATTTTTTCTGGGTGTTGTTTTTTTAGCGAGTTATTTTTCTACGGGATAGGGTTGCTAACTTCATTTTGATGGTGTTTTGTTCTCTGAGCTGAATGGTTTGGTTGTGCTCAACCTTACTCCTTTATTTGGGCTTGAGACCGGCAGTAGCCCAAGAGGGACTCCGGGCGGCGTTACAGTCATCTTTACAAGTATTAATATTAGCATACTGTATTGATGAGCCACTTAATCACAAGTATATAGTAGCTTGAGGAATCGTGTTATTTTCCAAGTAAATTTTACATTAAAAGAAGCTTTTCTTTTGATATAGCTTCAGAGAATAGTTCCTATTTATCAGGAAAATGAATTTTAATAGTTGAGATCATGAGTTATTTGAAGCTAGACCATCATGGAAAACCTGGAAGCAGTGGACGACTGTTTCGCCCTATTGTAGAACTCCTCAACAGTGCGCATCCACGATCCCACCTCACGAGATTCAAACCCAGGACCTATCAGTCTCGTGCGTGAACGCTTAACCTCTAGACCACTAATTTTCTTTCAGCAATGATCTCTGGATTTAATGCAACGCTGTTAAGAACTATCATTCTTTACAATACTTCATAAAAAATATAATTCTGTTTATTATTTTTCATAGTTATGTTTGATATTAAGTCATTAATAATCCTGAATATAAACCAATGACTAGATTATCAAGCTCTCATCTGGAAACAATGCTTATTGGCTAATTGGAATGGGGCTGAGTTGTAAACATTGTCTTATTATGTAATAGGTGGCAGGTAATTGAATATAATACAACTTGACTGTGAATTACATTTGACAGTTTCACCCAGTCTGTTGTGAAATAGTAACTCACTGATGAAGACAATGGTGGATGTGTCACTCAATATCGTGGATTAGTTGAAGTTAGACATTCACACGGTTAAATGCCGGCCAGTTCAGTGGTCTACAGTTTAATCTCTCGCGTGCGAGACTGATAGGTCCTCGGTTAGAATTTCGCGAGTTGGGATTGTGGATGTGCACTGCTGAAGAGTCATACAACAGGACGAAACAGTCGTCCAGTGCTTCCAGGTCTTCTATGGTAATCTAGCTTCAATTAACTCATGATCTCAACTATTCAAATTACATGTGATGAATTGTGAAGCACAGATTGTTACTGTTGAAACACATCTTCGTCAACAGTCCGTTCATGATTCTACTAGACTGTTATAAGTATGTCACGAACATTCCATAATGTAACTTGAAATAACAAAAAAAATATTGTTGACCTTTGTTTTACATTGATTCTTATTGTATTTCATAGACAATAATCAATCTTTTAAATCTCTATGTAATCTATTAAAGGAACACCAAGTAAGTTTGTTATTATTTTTGTTAGTACTTCTGATATAAATGAATGGATGATGGTGTGTTATTGTTTGTTTATTTAAACACATAAACAATGGTACAAGGAGGTACCAAATAGATATGCGTTACATAAATCATACGATTTGTGTGAGGGCCGAGATACTACCCGGGTGCTCAAAACAAAGCAGGTGGTTTTCGTAAGGAGGACACGCCCGAAGCTTTCATCCTAAAGGTCTGATCCACAAGACAATGGAGCAGTGACAGGAGATGCAGTCTCATGATAGCCGTTGACCAACAATAGGTTCATACGCCATTTGTTTCCTTAGGATCCTGGAGCTCATATACACCATCGGTTTGAAATTATTATTACCAAACTCTACTGGATGGATTCACCGTATTCACCAAAACGGTTACAGTAGATAACATTGACTTTTCGCCCTTTTGTTTTGATATACAACATCCCACCGCGCGAAGGTAGTGGGTAAGACTTCCCTTTCAGTGTTTGCATGCATTTGGCCATATAAGAGGGAGAGATAACTCTCCTCACTCTCGGCCGTGCCAGGGCATTTTTGGGGGCAATTTAAATGTTCACTTTAAGTTTATTTCACCTTTAAAAGGATAATTCATTCAGTGTAAATACTAACGAATGGAGCTTTAAGAGAGTTGATATTAGGACTATAATCTATGTTCTACCTTTGAGCAACACGAAAGTGCCTTTGAGAGTATTCACCTACTTATTAGATCTAAATGATAGTTACAAACTTATGTGAACAATAAAGATTATGATTTACAGTTGATGGTTAGGGTTAAAGATTAGATTTAAGGTTTTCGTTACGAATCGACATCAACCGAAACGCTATTTAGCCATAATGGTTGAATGAATTTCGCGCTAAAATCAAAGAATTGTTATCCTTAATCTGATTCGTTCGTCCATGAATTATGGTCTCACCATTTCGTCTGTGATAAAATAAACTGATTATGATGGTACTTAATATTGAAGTAAGTTATGAAAATATAGTTCTGAAGATATCGGTGATTTAGGAATCTCGGAATGTGGATAACAGGTAAATTAGAATGAGGAAATGGATACCTCTAAATGATCCAAGGCTCTATGTCGCTATGTTAGGCTATATTAAGACTGTCAGTTCAGTTTCAAATAATAATGAAGTAGGAGTTCTGTACTAACACAAAACAACTGTCGAATATATCGCAGTGATAATCTAACTGAAATCACTCCATGATATGAACTATCAGTTGAATAATCTCCACTAATCTATACTAAGATGTGGATGTAAATCTGCAATGAAATTGTGACCTCCAAGTAATTACACGCTGGCGCCGTACCAGGGGAAAGTGTAATATACATGCATACCGGTAACGCATAAGTTTTCGCCCATAGATTCTTTGGCATGCATATAAGTATACTCACCTTGGAAGCAAATATACGTTATATAATTACTGGTGAAACTGTCACTTACACATTGCATTCATATCACTGGTACAAAGTCTTTCACCTCTGCACTTCAGGACATACACATTAGAATAAAAACTTTCTGAGGGAGGGTTAACGGTTACCTCTCTCTAGTATTTATTATCATATCTTTTTATTATCTTCAACCTGATGGTTTAGACTTCTGATTTTGATTAGACATAGACAGACATATTTTCCAAATCACGTATTCTATAGATATATCTACATATATTAACCATATGAGCCGAAACTCATGCAATTTATATACATAAGCATATACATCAGACAGCCCCGAAAAATGGAACAAACTTAATCTCATTTACAAAAGATTGATGGGTTAGTCTGATCTTCACCAACCATCAAAGTTGGCTAGAGAGATTTCCTCTATTAATCAGTAGTTCCACGATAAGACTTTAGGTCAGATTTTTCTATCCCTACTCACTTACAAAAGTAACCAGGACTGGATCAATGTAACCTGTATTGATTCAGTGTATTTTGTTTATGTCGAATTTCAGTTTATTATTGTTCAATGAACAAGTTTTGTTCTATTTATGGTTATTCATAACATTTTCAGCTTAGTCTATTACCGTATTCACCTAAGTGTTTTGTGATTAAAATGATTTGTTTTAGAGTTTGTAAACGTAGATGAAGGTGAGTATTTACCTTTTTTTGTCAATTATATAAATCAGTTAATTAATTACTAAATATTTATAAGTTATGTCATGATAACATCGTGGATGTGTACTGCTGAGGAGTCCTATACTAGGACGAAACAGCCACCCAGTACTTTGCGATTTTTTATGATGATCTAGCTTAGATCGAATTGTGAATTCAGTTGTGAATATACTACAATCCTTTTAAATTCTCAAACCAGTTTGTGTTAAAATAATTTGGTGATAAAGACGTCAGTAATTCAGTCAGCTGCAACGTAGGACCAGGCACATATATGCACCAGTCCAAGTTGCCATACCTCATTAGCACAGCAAGATGAACGGCGGATTCACAGAAGTATTTGATTCAATGGTGGTAATATATAAGTAAAAGATTGTGTATAAGGATGCAATTTTCATCTCATAGTTTAAGGGAAGACAGAGAGTGTATACACCTGCGCAATTGTGATTGATTGTGAGCCATGTCACCCAGAGCCTCCAACCATTGGTTACGATGATCATGCGGACACCAACCAAGTAGTCTGCATCTAACAACATGGCTCACACTAGAAGTCAGTGACTTCAAGCACTGATGCCACATTTCGGTTTGGCCTCCCCCAAATTTCTTCTAACCATCTCCAGCACTAGTCAGTATAGCGCGTCGTGGTAATCGGTGGTCGTGTATGCATAACACGTAGACCAACCATCTCAGTCGATGAACATTCACAACCTCATCACAACTGATTTACCATCATCATTCCCTAATACCTTGTATCTGCCTAATCTCACTATTACTTACCCGGTGATCCCTGCCGTCATACCTCTGTACAGTCAGCAGTACGATTTGACCCTCTGACCTTGAGTTTGTTGCTTTTAGTCTAACCATTTTTCAACCGACCTGTCTGGCATGATAGGACCATAAGGATCGATTTTTCCAGCCATTTTAGCCCGATAGGTTCATCTCGATAGACAAGCCCGATCACCACATCAAGGTAGCTGCAACAGTCGGATCATACTGTCTTTAACTCAACGAGGTTCACGTGCAGATGGTAATTCCAGGAAGCAAATAAACTAATCATATTCTACTAAAACTGGAGAACTGATAATGTAGTCAATGAAGACTAGAATACAGTAAACCAGTTAATTGTATTTAGCAAAATTTAAACAAGACATAAAACAAACCATCTACATATCTTCCTTAAATTGCATCTTACAAACTTGATTGTTTCTTCATTCCTGTTGTCATTCTCTCTCTCTCTTGTCATTATGTTTCTTCTCTGTCAGTAAGAATGCTACTTCCAATTCCTGGTACATACTACTTATATCTATCTATAAAGTAGTACATATCGCAATGAGCTTGTTATATATTAGTGTATATTATTCGATTTGACTAAGTAATTTCATTTATTTTACTATTACTTCAGATGGTAATCCAAGAGGTGAAACAACAGATGTTACGTAGGTTTCCAATTCATTATAATAATGATGAATTTTATGTTTCTTTGTGTAGTATCTTCAACATAGATTTATTTCTATCATTCCACTGATATTTAGGACTGCCATTGACCAGTCTCTTATTGGTATATATGTATACTATGTGTATTGATTCGATATTGCCTTCAGTCATAAGCGTTATAAGTAGTGATGGATGGTGGTGACTAACAGTGGAATGTAGGACACTTGTTTCGTTCCATTTTGGTACACATCAGTTGGATGTACGTGCATCTCAGAGTTGATATTCACTCTGGGACTCGAACCCAGTACCATTCGCTTCGAACGCCATCACATTATTCACCTAGTTATTGAGTCCTGTTAGCTACTGGCTTGTTCAATTCATTTGGTATTGTTTACTTGAATTTTTCCATTCATGTTTAGAACTACGATTGATCATCAGTTCTCTATTAGCATATATGCATCCTATACAGATTATCTCGATATTGTCTTAATTTACACGTCACTATCTATATTTCCTGTCAATAAGATGATTATCAGAAGAAGACTTAGTTGGTGTTGTGGTATATGTTACTGATCTCGACAGATATAAGTAGGCATGTGTTATCAATCGAAAGTGAATGGCCTGTAGACAGAAGGTTAAGAAGATTGTAGAGAAGAGAACAACAACAGAGAATGATTGGTTTGAAATTGAAGTATTTATTGTATGGTTTTCAGATTTTATTCAGTCGTTCTATACTTTTGTATCCCAATACATTTCGTTGTCTCCCCCCCAACTGGTATTCTCGTTCACTAAAATAGCGACCCAACCAATGACGCACAAAACCCGTATGAGCAGTCTAGAGTCGTTGTCGGTCCTGTTTCCTACCTAGTTCTGCCTGTTAAGTCCAGAACATCAATCTCAGCCTCTACGATATGAATTATTTATTCCAAGCACACTGGGTTTATATACCAACCAGACAGACCACATCGTACCATAAAATAGGAAACAACATTTGTGCAAGATGTAGCCAAATGTGGCTATGAGTGCGGGAGGTAATGATTAAGAGACAGGGAATAATTCAAGAATGGTAAGTCGTATAATGATAATCCATGGGTCGAATGTAAGCTTATAATATGTGGAATATGAATAAAGAGAGTTTAGTTACTTAAACATTACACTATATATTTATTTTGCTGACGCCTGTTACTCCCAGTGGAGCATAGACCGCCAACCAGCATTCTTCAACCCACTCTGTCCTGGACCTTCCTTTCTAGTTCTATCCAATTCTTGTTCATTCTTCTCATGTCTTCCTCCATTTCTCTGCGTAATGTGTTCTTTGGTCTTCCCCTTCTCCTTTGGCCTTGAAGATTCCATATGTGGGCTTGCTTTGTGATGCAGTTGGGTGCTTTCCTCGATGTGTGTCCTGTTTACTTCCAGCGCCATAAATCATTTATTCCAAACATACTGAGTTTATGTACAAATTATACAGGTCACATTACACCACAAAATAGAAAATAACATTTGTACAAGATTTAGCCAAAAGTGGCTGTGAATGTGGGAGACTGTAATGAATAGACTGGATATAACTCGAGAATGGGAAACCGTATGATAATAATAATAATCTATGGGTCAAATGGAAGCTTATAATAAGAGGAACATGAATATGAATAGTTTACGACAAGCCTGACAAGCATATGACTACTGGTAGGATCAACCAGTTTATTCATAGTTATATAATATACCCTTGTGGGTCAGAATAATTTTACATTGGTTTTCTGAAGAACCAGACACCATCCAGACTTTCACGTGACACCCCAAACACCACAGCTCAATCCCATTTAACAGGAGAGCCAGACACCATATAGGCTTTAACAATACAGTCTGAATAGTACAACTTAATCCTGTGGCGCAACCCCACAGATATTAAGCACCCTGATTAACCATTCGCACTATTCATTTACACATTTACATCACATGTATAGTTATTCCGATCAATGTACGACAAAATAGAAAACTACATCAGTACAAGATCTGACCAAAATGTGGCTATGAATGTGAGAGACTGTAATTAATAGACTGAACATAACTCGAGAACAGTACATCGTATAATAATAATCAATAAGTCAAATGGAAGCTTATCATAAGAGGAACATGAATATGCAGATAGTTTAGCTCATTAACAATTATACAATAAAAATCAGTGTATCATACTAATCCACAAATAGATCCTGACCGTTATCATTCATTATTCTCAATGGGATATAATACAAATGACTTCTGAAGAGTAAACATAATGAAGTTACGAAACTTCATTGTTTGTTTGTTTGTTTGTTTTTTCATCTGTAACTTACTATTTATAAAATTGTATTCATGGTAAATGGTCAATCAAATTTCATTTGTAAGTGTTAATGATTGATTTACATAGTAACTAATTGTACATACAAAAAAATCATCATCATCATCATCATAAGATCCACATGTTACTCGTCAATTCATAAAGTCAATCATCCCTTATTAGATAATAGATGAAGAAAACCTACACAAGAATTTTGTTAAAAACAAAAAAAATTTTTTAAAAATTAAAAAAAATTTTTTTCTATTTAAATTGTATCCAGGTGAAAGGAAACTAGACTCATTGAGTTAAATCTTATTGAATAATAGATTGAAAATATAAATAACAGATAAGTATCAAACTATGATGAATGTTAAGTTAGTAACTATGACGAATGAATGTAATAAGAGAATGTTAGCATAGAAGCCAAATTGTAACTAGATAGTAATTTGTTCATAAAGAAAAGAATGATATCAATTAAGTTATATTCACTTGGTATTGTTTGACTTCTTTCTTTTCATTGAGGTTTTAAGACTGTAATTGATCAGTGTGTTATTGGCATATGTGCATACTGTGCGTATTGCCTCGATATTGCTTTAATTTACAAACTTTTTGTAGGCAATGATGGATAGTGGCTAGCAGTGGAATCCAGGACGCGCGTTTCGTCCTATTCGGGACTCATCAGCTGGATGTACCTGCATCTCAGAGAGTTGATGTTCACTCTGGGACTCGAGCCCAATACCATTCGCTTCAAACGTCATCGCGTTATCCACTCAGCTACTGAGTCCTGATAGCCACTTGCTTGTGCAGTGGGGTGAATTTGAATTCACTTGGTATTGTTTGGCTTGTATCTTCTCAATCAGGTTATATGTTATATGTTATATGCAATACAGATCTATGGTTTCATTGAGTGTTCTAACTAAAACTGAGCTTCTAAACAATCATTAGTGTATATGGGCTCCAGTATCCGAAGGGAACAAATAACGTATGAATGTAGTGTTGGTCATCGGGTATTATAGGACTACATCTCCTAACGTTGTTCAACTGTGGATTAGACCTCTAAATGAAAGAAATAAAGAGTGGATCCCTAAGAAAAACCAATTGTTTCGGTTTGAGCATTTGGGAAGTATCTCAGCCCTCACATAAGTCGAACAGTAAAGTGTTACTTACTTACTTATTTACCCCTGTGACCTCAAATGGAGCATAGTCCATCGACCAGTATTCTCTTACCCATTCTGTCCTGGGCCTCCCTTTCTAATTCTATCCAATTTCTGTTCATTTTTCTTATGTCTTTCTCCATTTCTCGGCTTAATGTGTGCTTTGTTCTTCTTCATCTCCTTTGGTATTCAGGATTCCAAGTGAGGGTTTGCCTTGTGATGCAGTTGGGTGGTTTCTTCTACGTGTGTCTTAAAAAGTTCCAGTGTTTCTTTATGATTACCTCCTCCGCTGGAATCTGCTTTGTTATCTCACACAGTAGGTTGTTGTTGATAGTTTCTGGCCAACGGATCGGAAGTATTTCGCGTCGACAACTATTAATAAACACTTGTATGTTCTGGATGTTAGCTTTTATAGTTCTCCAAGTTTCCGTTTCATTTGTTTTGAAAATTCTGACTTTGGTGTTAGTTGACATTTGTTTTGAGTTCCAGATGTTTTTCAGTTGCAGATATGCAGCACTTGCTTTGCCAATCCGTACTTTCACATCTGCATCAGATCCACCGTGTTCATCAATGGTGCTGCCCAGATACGTACTAGTTTTTACATCATTCAAAGCTGCTTTTTCAAGCGTGATTTGACTGGTGCTGTATCGGGGAATCTTGCTTTTCTCTTTGTTTATGTTGAGACCTACTGTTGCCGAGGCTGGTGCTACACTGGTCGTGTACTCTAGCATTTGTAGTTGTGTGTCTGATAAAAGATCCAGATCATCTGCGAAATCTAGATCGTCCAGCCGCATTCTAGCTCTCCATTGTATCCCGTGCTTCCCTCAGATGTTAACTCTTTCATAATCCACTTGATCACTAGGAGAAAGAGAAAGGGTGAGAGTAAATAACCTTGCTTGACACTCGTCCTTACTTGGAATGAACGTGTCCTCGATGCGCCACTTCACAGTGTAGTCCATCGTGTGAATTCTAAGTGATGTTGACAATTTTCTCGGGTACATCATAAGATTTTCCTATTGAAGCTGTCAAACGCCTTATCGTAACAATGAAGTTGATGGAGAGTTCTGAATTCCATTCAGTTGATTGTTCTACAATGATCTGTAGTGTTGCGATTTGTTCGGTGCACGATTTATCCTTACGGAATCCAGTCTGTTGATCACAAGGTTGCGCATCTACGGACTCCTTCATTCTGTTCAATAACACCCTGTTGAAGACTTTTCCTGATATTGAGAGAAGAGTGATACCTCTGTTGTTCTTCCACTTGCTGAGATCGCCTGTCTTTGATATCTTGATCAGGTGTTCTTTTTTCCAATCTGTTCGTACTTGTTCTTAATCCCGAATCATGCAGAAGAGAAAGTTGATTATCGTTTCAGCTGCTGCTACGTCTGCATTTAGTGCATCTTCTGGAATACTGTCTGGTCTTTTTGGTTTACCGTTCTTGATTTGTCTGATGGCCATGCTGATCTCTTCAATTGTTAGTGCGCCAACATTGATTAAGAGGTTCGTGGGTGCTGCTTCGATGTTGGGTGGGCTCAGTGAGGCTGGTAGATTCAAGAGTTCCTTTAAGTGCTCGACCCACCTTTTTCATATTTCCTCAATATTGGTGATTACTTTGCCTTCTTTACTTTTCACTGGTGAAGTGTGGCATCTAGGTATTTAGTGCCTTCATGTACCAAATAATAAAATGGTTTCTTTTACAAATTTCAGTGAATCATCATCATTGTTCTTACATTTTCATATCAATTGTTTTCCATTCTCGTTTTTTTCCTCCTCAATCTTCTACTGAAATACAATCAATTTCTAACTATCATTATATACTACTTATATGGAATTAAGTAGCTCACATCACAAATCCAGCATTTGTAATGGAACCTTTTAGAGTATTTCTAGATTTGCAATTATACATTTTTATCATCAAGATCTTGATGAGTTTAATTTTAACTCAAATTCATTGAGAAATTATCTTCTTATTCAGTAAGATATTTGATGCAAAAAAGTAAGTATATTGTGAATTTTCTGATCTGGATCATCTTTTCATTACATATTGTCAAAGGTTTTACAACTTGTACTGTTATACAAGTTATTGATTGTATATAATCTATTACTTATTTGCGTCTGTTATTCCTTGTGGAGGAGCATAGGACGCCCATCAGGACAATACGTAATCTATGCTCAAACGTATTCAAATGATAGTATGTAGACTTTGTGTGACAAATTCACTTTTATTTACAAATTATATATATATTCCTAAGGAGAGATGAATGGTAGCTAGAAGTGAAACTAAAGATGCATGTTTCGATCTATTTGGAACTCGTCAGATGGATATGTATGCATCCCAGAGTTGATGTTCAGTTCAGAACTCAAAACCAGTACCCTTCACTCTAAACATTATCACGATATTCAGTTAACTACTGAGTTCAAATAACCATCAACATGTGAAGTTTGCTTGTACCTTCGCTACATTGATCAATCTTCCATTGACATATATGAATTGTGTGTGGGTCGCTTTGATATTACATTCAAATAATCTCGATCCTAAACGTCAATAAGAAGATTCAAATAATCTTTCTAGATTGAATGAATGGTTCTGTTTTTTCCTTCGTTTTTTGTAGATAGCACTTGTATATTGCACACCTCTCCTTCATGTTAATCACACAAACACACAGCTAATGGTAAACACTTTCATAAATGAACACTTATTGAGTCGATGTTAGAATGTGTACATACTTTACATACCATAGAATAATCAGAATTATTTAGAGTGTACACTGAAGACAATAATCAATTGATAGTCAGAGAAGGGTTTCTGTGGATATTATAGTAATTTAATAGTTGAATTTATGAGTCAATTGAAGCTAGACCTCCATGGAAAACCTGGAAACACTGGATGGTCATTTCGTCATATAATGGGACTCCTGAACAGTGCGCATCCACGATGCCACCTCGCGAGATTAAAACCCAGTACCTATCTTTCTTGTACGAGAACGCTTAACCACTAGATCACTGAGTCGGTAAACACAATGATGTTTATGTCAAACTTCAACTAATCCACGAAATTGAGCGATACGTTCATCATTGTCTTTAGTGAGTTACCATCTTCACTGATCACTGCTTCTCACTAGAACTTCATGAAATACCTCTTGAATCCAGTCACTAATGATTAAATGATGATTACAATCAGAGAAGGGTTTTTGTGGAGATTGTGGTAATTTAATAATTGAATACATGCGTCAATGAAGCTAGATCACTATGGATCGTGGTTACGCACTGTTGAGGAGTCCGATACTAGGACGAAACGACCGTTCAGTGCTTCCAGGTTTTCCATGGTGGTCCAGCTTCAATTGATTCATATATTCAACTATTAAATTAGGAAATTGATATATACTAGATATGAGAAAGCATAAAAGAAAGAATATCATGTTTCAATGATTGTTGTTCATAAATGAAGTTCCAGGCAAATACTTTTCATTGTCTTTACATCAAAACATAATTTGATAGGAAAAATTTGGAGAATTTGTGGAGATTATACTATTTTCAAAGGTAAATTCGCAAGACGATCTAAGCTAGACCATTAGTGAAAACATGGAACCACTGGATGACCGTTTCTTCCTAGTATCAGACTCTTCATCAATACCCGGCTATTGGATGTTAGTTCAGTGGTTTAGAAGTTAGACGTTCGTGTGTGAAACCGAACATCCTGAGTTTTAGTCTCACGTGCAGGATCGTGCCTATGCACCGTTGAAGAGTACGATGATAGGACGAAACGACCGTCTAATGGTTCCAGGTTTTCATTGGCAGTCTAGCTTAGATTGACTCGGGAATTACACTTTGAAAAACATCAACATCTAACAAGATGTTGAGAAACATTGAATCCATTTTATTACTGAATATCGACATTGCCCAATGTGTAAATTGATTGATGACTTTCTTTATAAATGTTATCTATGAACGTAAACTTTGATTATATATGTATGTTTTGTAGAACATTAGGTTCAGCATTCGTGTGAGTAATCTGTAATACATTGTACATTATGTAATCAATGTTTGTATTACATAACTAAGTGTTTTCCCAATGGTTTATTGATAAACATTCTATTTTGGGAATAACTTCAAGTAAAGTTTTACAACCATGATTCAATTATTTCGTTAGTTCTAGTGTTTTGAAAAGGTTTTCAATTTTGTATTTCTATATTGAAGTAAAGTCTGTGTAAATAAGGAACTATTGACATTGCTAATGAAAGACAGAATAAGAGAAAACGCTAATGAGATTCTTTTAAAATGATATATTTCACTTCCTGGAACCCCGGTATTCACCATAGTCTTACTTGCTTCCTTACGACTGGAATCCTCAATAGAGTATAGGCCATTGTTTTATCACAGTCTATAGTGAATGTATTTCTGGAGGTCATAATGTTGATAGTCTCTTCATATTACACATACTTAATTATGCTACGTTACATTATTAGATACATTCAAGATTTGTTCAAGTGTATCATATCGGTTCATTGATGACACTCAGTCAAGTTGACATGCCGCATCAGCACAACAAGATGAACACTGGATACATAGAAGTAGTTAATTCAATGATGGTAATATATAAAAGAAGGATTGCATAAAAGGATATAGTACAGGATGAAAGAAGTAGTACGTAGAAAGAAATATATGAAGTGATTTTAATCTTAGTTTAAGGGAAGACAGAGAGTGTATACAACTCCGCCATTATGATCAATTCTGTGCCATGTCACCAAGAGTCTCCAACCATTGGTTACGATAGTCATGCGGACTCCAACCAAGTAGTCTTCATCTAACAACATGGCTCACACTAGAAGTTAGTGACTTCAAGCACTGATGCCAGGTTTTGGTTTGTCCGGTCCTAACTTTCTTCCAACCATCCCCAAAACCGGTTAGCATTGGGCTATTATTATTTGAATTGAATCTTCCAAAGTTAGAATGTTGAACGTTATTTTTGGCTTACTAAGTAAACTTTTTAATAACTAGGATGGTAATTGAGAGGAATTAACAGAGAATCTTAGTTAAAGAAATATGATATTTCAATACTTATCCAACTAGTTTACTGAATCATTTATCAAGTATCCATGGTGAGGCTATAATTTATAGACAACCTTTGAGCAATGCTAACATGACCTTGAAAATGTCCACCTAGCAACTAGGACTAAACAAGGGTTATAAAACAATGTGAGGAGTTAGACTTATGATTTACTGTGGATGGTTAGCATTAGGAATTCGATTTCAGGTTTTCATCACGAATTGACATCAGCTATAATGTCAAAATGCATATAAGTTCATTTTCTTGTTGTTCTATTATCAGTTTATTTGTACAGATTGTAGAATCTTTATTGTTAAGTGACAAACTGATCTTAAACAGGCCAATATCAAAAACTAGGGAGGAGTAGGTAGATGTTTCATTTTAGTATAGGATTCCGAAGCAGTACATATCTATGACCCCACCAGTAATCAACCTCAGGACTATTATTAATGTTCAGTTCATACTGTCTCTATATTTGATGGTGAATCGTGTATTTAGTATACTGTGATGTAGTCTACGTATTATATATCGCATCAACCGAGTATTCAGTTAAACGGTAACAGAGTCTCGGTTAACGGTCCTATAACCGTATAATAGTAGTAGAATGAAGTAAACCATGGAATATAGTTTTATTCTCCTGTTATATGACAATAATGAATAAATAGTAAATTAATCGATAAAATTTGATTAGATAATTTGGTGAGACTGCAGTGTGGCGTCGAGTCACGGTTGACTATGATCAACACTACAAGAAGACTACGTGCCAGTTAACCGATAACATCCCCCGTAAGCCAAATATCAGAAGGTAGTTGATGGCTGTAGTCAACATGTATTTGTTGGCGATCTCGTTGTATCGAAGGAATACCGAGCTTGTGCCAAAGGAATACAAGTGTGGTTACTGAGTGTAACCGAATTCGTGCAAGGTCACAATGAACGGAAGGAAGAATGTCTTTAGTGCAGATAAACAAACAAGTACAGTAAAACAATCCCTGGTCCAATTGGTTATAATAATGATTGTTTCCATTAAACCAATCGTGTTCTCTTGATAAAAGTAGGTCACTACAACACTGTAATTTATGGATGACCTTTGAACGACTCTAGACTGACCTTGACAGTATCCACCTAGTAACTAAGACTAAAGGAAAGTTATAAACCATTGTGGTGAATTATAATTGTAAATTTCAATTGATGATAAGAGTTAAAAATTGGATTTCGCCGTTTCATCATGAACTGACAACAGCTATCATGCTGTAATGGTATTTAGCTAAATAAACCAATGAATTTCGCGCCAAAAATCCATGACCTCTAATCTTCAATTTGATTGGTTCATCCATAAATTATCATCTTATCATGTCCGTTTTATATTGAATTTATTATTCAACTTCACTATTGACCTGATTTCTATTTGAAGTACACTGTTTTACCATTTATGGTAAGTTCAAAAAATTTTTTTTCCTTTTTATCTCTAAACTATTTATCATTGAAGTATTGATATTCGAATGAGTTTTTGTAGATATTCTAGTCATTTTTAATAGATGAAATCATAAGTTGATTGAAGTTAGACTACCTTGGTAAAGCCTGGAAGTACTGAACAACCGTTACGTTCTATTGTAGGAATTCTCATCAGTGCACATCCATGATCACTCCTTGTAAGATTCGAATCCAGAATCTATCGATCTCGCATGTGAACGCTTTCAATCCAGATCAATGAACCAGCATCTGAAATAGGGTTAATGTTTAACTTCAATTAATCTATGAAATTGTGCTACCGTCTATCATTATCTCACAACAGACCCGGTTGAACTTCACTGATTACTACTTCTTACTAGAACTCCAGGGAATACTTCTTGAAGCTAGTCGTTAGTTAGCATGTGATGATTATTATCAGAAAGGGGTTTTGTGGATATTATAGTTTTTTTTTAAAAATAATTGAGATCATGAGTTAATTGAAGTTAGACCATCATAGAAAACTTGGAAGTAGTGAACGACGGTTTCATCCTAATCTGAGTCTCCTCAATTAAAGACAAATGAAATCGCGTATTATGTTGAGATATTTCATTGATCAAATAGGCATTTAAGTTTCAACTTCTTGTATCTATGATAAAAGTACTTTCAAATGTTCATTCACTTGTTTCCATTCATTACATAATAGTTACATATATTACATAAATGTTTTAGTATGAATTATTCAGTTAATCGATCATTGAAAAGTGAACAATATCATATGTGTTTAGCTGAGGGTAGGGAAAGTCAGCTCCTTTCTCTCTCGAAATGCTTTCATATGGTCATGCGTATATAGTCACGTCCAGGGAAGTCCTACTTATTGCTTTCTCGTGACAGGGGTGTTGTTTACGAAAATGAGAAAGCGAAATGCGAACAACCTACCCTTTAACTGAGTTGATGGATATGGAGAGTCCACCTAGGGAGCTGAAAAGCCCTCATTTCAAACCAATCATCATCATCATCATCATCATCTATGTTGTTAGGTAACCGACTTCAAATCATTCAGATCTTTCAACAGATTTAATCCACAATTAAAACTTTATCTTTTCTTTATTAATAAAACAAAAAGAAACGAAAAAAAAACATTTTTTTAATTTTTTTTGGTCATTTTTAGGTTTTTATTAAAACAAGGATTGGGGTTACCATGACAACTTAGAAAAATCAATAAAACCGCTTTTGTTTCTATGAGACTTTATTATTCTTGTTTTTTTGTTTTTTTTTTATCTTTTCATCTTTTTCTTTATTTTTGTCTTCATCAAGATATGAATTTTGTGCAAATGGATTATTATTTTTATCTGTCAAATTAATGGTGATAAGATTCTTTCGATAATGATCATTATCTATTTTGTTCTATTCTGTTTTTCTGTTGAAGTTGAATCATTATTAAATTAATTTCATTTTAGTAATGAGTACTTTTAATTGATTTAATGAATAGTCAATGACTTGAAGGATTGTGATCATGAATTGATTGATGTTAAACTACTATTGAAGATCTGGAAACACTGAATGTCCGTTTCGTCTTATTGTGAGACTCCTCAGTAGTGCCCAGCTACGATCCTGCTCGCTTAACATCACTAGATCACTGAGCTGGCATTCAATCGTGTTCATGTTTAACCTCAAACAATTCACGAGATTGCGTGATCATCTTCCATTATGCTGAGGTAGATACTGGTCTCTATCTCATAACGAAGGCTTTGGGTTCGAATCCGGTGGGCGGTATTGTCGACGCATACTGCTTGGTAGTCCGACAATAGGATGAATAGGCCATTCAGTACTTCCAGGATTCCAAAGATGTTCTAATATCAATCGGTTCATGATCTCAATCAA